AATTTGCCATTATTATATTTGATGCCATTACTAAGGATGCCAGCTACAACTTTTGATGATGGTTGCTACCACCTTTGTATCATATAAAAATGATTGCAACTGCTGGTTGCAACCGCCTTTACAACCATTTTGTTTCCTTTTTTGGGTTGCAACATGGAGCACTACAATCAAACTTGCAAAAAAATAAAATAAGCTTATGGTTGATTGTCTTTGAATAGGGGAAAAAACATTTGATATGGTACAATTTTATCAGAAAAATCTTCATTAGAGGTATCCTGGAATCAAATTAAAGGAATAATATCTGCTAAATTGAGGTCTGCTAAATCGAGATTCACTGTGTACCGCTTCTGATATGAATATTGTTTTACCAATCCTACTTGCACCACTTACTAAAGGGATTATTAGCTCTTTTTTTGTAGTCACTGCTGCTTTCCATTGTTATATATATTAGAATGAATTTCAAGCAAAGTTCTCATTTGGTTATCTCTATTAACTAGTTTAAACCAAGGTTGGCCATGATACTGGTCCATTGATGGTCCATTGGATCTATTGGTGTAACAATTTGACCATATTTAGTATTTTATTAGTAGCAATGGACCAGACCAAAACTCATTGGTCTCAATGGACCCAGTCAGTTGCCAATCCTGGTTTAAACTGCCATCAAGCTCTCTAACAATAATTACATTTTCATTTTGATATTATGAACATGTGAAAATGGTTTATTATTAGGATTACCCTCTCAGATATACTATAATTTTTCATGTTCATTTATAAATTATGCCATGTGACTTTTACATTAGATAAACATGTGCTAACGAGAATATGCATACTCTGTCTATTTGCATACATTTGCATACAAACTCATATACTCCCAAAAGTATGCAAATAGACAGGTACAACTGTATTGTAAAATCGAAAAAGTACCACTTAGAAAAGTTGAGTGCCACTAACTATATAACACCACCTCAAACTTTGCACAAATGTTCTATTATTTTGGTTCTTTTCTGAGCAAGAAATAACTTTTTCTGAGCAGGATCAGATTTTTATTTTTATTAAAAACAAAGTTGCTCTAAATTTGTCATAACATCCAAATTTGTGATGATCTACATTTTAACTTGACATGCATAACATAAAAAATAAACTAATACAGTCAACCCCCTCTAAGTGCACATCCCCTTCCCACTGCACTGCATGGTCTTTTTTCATTCCCATCTATATAAAACTCCCTCTCTAAGTACACTCCCATGACTTTCACATGATCATTTTCCAATAAAAATTGTGTGACGTTATTAAATTAAAATACCTTTTCTTTAAAGGTAGAGTGTAGTCATGTGATTTTTCATAACAACTGGGAGGATAAATTTTTTACTGTGACAATCATTTTCTTATGTCACACATTAATATAAAATAATTCTAAAACAATCAAGTTTTTAATAAATAATTCCATCCTTTTGATTTAGCTTCAACAACCTTTGAGGCCATAAATAATCAAGCTACAAGTTAAGGGTAGAGTGTAGGTAACATGAAATTTACTATGATACAATAGATAATTTTTGACTGCAAATCATTAAAAATATTAGTGTAGTCATGCATGATAACATTATTATTATATACAGTAAT